TTTATCTTTTATACTTTGATTCTATTATTATATCATTGATTATCATTTCTCGTTTTATTTATCATTTATTCTTATTATTCTTTTTTTCTATATTCTATATCATATATTCATATCATTTTCATTTATATTTTATCACTTATTATATGTTATAATAACATAACACATATGATTGATTATATAATAAACATCATGATGAAGTTATACATATGAACAATAACATAAAAAATAGTAAAATATTTTTCAACAATAAAACAATGCCAATCATTTTACATAATTGAATTAGACACTTTTATTGAATATTTCTAATTTTTAAAATAAAAAACACATCATTTATTTCTTCTTTTCTTCTTTTATTACATCTTTGTGTTTTATTACTTTTATATTCTTCTTCTACTTTATTTTTATTCTTTTATATATTTATATTCTTTTTATATTATTTGGTTTTAGTTGTTTTTCTATTTCTTTCTTCTATTATTTATCATTTTTATATTCATTCATTCTTTCTTTTTATTTCTTTTTTATTAATTCTTGAGTATTGTATATTTCTTTATTATTTCATTCATATATTATCAAAATACATGTTTTATTGATTTTATGTTGAATAAATTATAGAATAATTCAATATTTTCAATGTTAATTATTCATTATTTATTCTGAAATGTTGTGTATATTTATTATATTAAATGAATATGATGAATGAATATCAATAATATTGTTTATTTGATTTTAAAAAATAATAAATGAATATGAAATAATAAATGAAATGAAATAATGAAGACAATGAAATGATAATGAAATAGAATAATCTAATATTGAACAAATCAAATAAAGAATATATTGAATATATCATTATTGTTACTTTATTATTTGTTATTTCAATTATTAAATATTAATAAATTATTATTCATGAATATTTAATTGATTGATATTTTACATTTTCAATTTCATTTTATTTAATAAATGAAATATAAATAATAAATGAATGAATAATAATTTAATATATGAAATAATAAAAAGAAAAGAAAGATAAATAATAAAGAAATATGATATATTTAATAGATAATATAATTTATTATCAAATAAAATAATAATATCAAATGATGATTTATTTTTATTTCAAAATATTTTGCATCAATAAAAATGTTGCTAAATATTTTGCATCATTAAATTTTGGGCTTTTTTTTATTGCACTTTTTTATTTGTTTCAATAAAATTTGCATCCTTTATTTTTTTCATTCTTTTCTTCTTTTATCATCTCTTTTGTTTTATTACACTTTATCTTCTTTATTTTTATCTTCTCTCCTTTCTACTTTTATTCTTTCTTCATCATATCCAACTTTTTACTTTCTTTTTATTCTTTTATATCATTCATTCTCTTCTTTTTCAATTATTCGCTTTTTTTCGTTGCCCAAATTATTTTGCATCTTTTTTCTTTTTTTGTAAATTATTTAGATACATTATTTCTTTGATAATTTTTGTGCCTATCTCAATTCATTGTTTTTCTCTTATTAAAAAACTATTGATCTTGTATCAAAATATCACCAATTGGTATTTATAATAAAACTGAATGTTAAATTATTGTCATCAAGTTTCAAATAATTGAAAGACATAAATCACTTTTGATTGCCTGTTTGTGTTATTAATACTTTATTTTGTAATTTTATTGTTGAATAATGAATATTTGAAGTTATTGGTTGCGACTCAAGAATTAATTGATGTCATTAGGAAATTATTGAAACAATAAATCTCCATCTAATCAAATAACAAGAATGATAATGAATGCTGACAAATTGTTAATAATTAAAATAAAAGAACAAAAAAGTAGAGTGATAGAAAAATAATATGTAGTGATGAAATATTCTATAGTCAATGAGATAATTGTGATAAGTTAAAGAAAATGATGAAGAAATGATGAAGCAAACACAAAACAACAATAAGATAATGAAAATTAAAAAAAGAAGAAAACAGATAAATTCAATGTTAATAAATACATAACAATGACAATAACATCAACACAACCGACTATGATAATAAATAACAACAATGAAATAAGTAAAGAATAAGAGTATATGAATATAAATAAACTACAAATGGAAAATAAATAACAAGAAATGAAACACATCAAAACAAAAATAGAAGAATATTTGAAATGAATTGTCTTTGAAATATTTTTAAATAATAAATTAAGAAAAGAACAAATAGAATGCGTTATAAAATTGACAAATTAGAAATTAGATCATAAATTTATCAACATTTGTATTGTATATTTAGTTAGAATTATTATTTCAGTTTCTTCATTATCTTATAATTCTATTATAATCGTCATTTAAACCACTTAAGAACTATATTATGTTCTATTATATTATCAGAATTGATTATAAAAACATCGATTCTTTCATGTTTTTGATAACTATTGTTCATAAGATTTTGTTTGAATTTATTTGCAATTTTATTGTCTTTAATATTCTTACATACTCTTTATGTATTAATCAATTTATTGATAAGATTACAGGTATTATTTCTACATATTTATTTTGTGAATATAATTTACTTATATATACTTCTCTTTCATATTTAGGTAATACATATCTTATATTCTAGTATTGATTGAACTATCATTAACAAATAACTCTTTATTGTAAGTTATGAATTATTTCATCATTATTAATACATTTATGAAGGTTATTAAAAATCAATTGAATCATTTCATTGAAATGGTAATTAGTATGCGTCTAAATGTTTATTTACACACATAATCATATTTTAATATTCAATCATTTTTTTTCATTCAATAATAATAAGATATTACTAATAGTTGCGCTTGTATTAGAACAATATTTAGATTCTTTTAAATAATCATTGTTTAATATTTTTGTTTTAATATTTCATTCCATACTTATACCTTCTTGCATCTTTATGCCTCTGATAAATACATTTCTTTTTATATTCAATGCCTTCAATGCTGTTAATTTCTTATCATTAAATGTACAATTAATACTTCTTATATATTCTCAAAATTTTCTTTTCATTTATTTACATATCTTGTATTTAATTGATTAAAATTATTTTTCTCACAAATTGCTTTCTTCATTACTTTTATTATTCAACTTAGAATTTCTTTTATTTCTTACTTATTTTGATATTCTTCACATAGTATTTATCCTTTATTTTAATATTGTGTATTGTTGGTATTGAATTGTTGTTAAAACACTTGTGATGGTGATTATGAATGAAATGATGAGTGAAATAAATCATACCATTATTGTTGTAATTGTTATGATGATATCGTTATGATAATGTTTAATTTGATAATTAATGTATATCTGACAATACAGACACTACTATTTTCACTCATTCTTCTGTCATTTTATATTTGTTGGTTGATAAGAATTTCTCTTTCTTTTGTTATTGTTTTTATATTTTCTGAGGTGTTTCATATCATGAAGAAATACTTTCATCTTAAAGAGTATAAAAGACGATAAAGAATTAAAAAGTAATAAGAAAAATATGACTTAATAAAGAAGAAAAAAAAAACACAAAGAAGAAGAATATAGAGAAATGAAAAAGAAGAATTAGTTATTTCTAATCCACGACAAAACTTCATGTTGATTGTCTTTAATGATTTTTTGAAAAGAAACAGATAAAATATCATCAAGCAGTTTATTTGTAGCCAAAGGCTCAGAGTCAAGAATATGAAAAGAATTTTTGATTGTATTAGTTATAAGATCAATAGAAAACCCATCAATAAAAGAAAAAACTAATAATAACAGATTTAAAATCATTTCATTATTTCTACGTAAAATAATGAAAGATTTAGAAGATAAAAGTAAAAAAATATCCCAACAATTCATAGTAATTTGATTTTGATTAATAACAATTTCTTGTAATTGGTTTCTTAAAACAGATGGAATTGCAAATAAATTAGCATCAAATTTAGGTCTTTCATTTAAAAGATATCCAAAATCAATATGAAAAAAAGTTGACTCACATAAATCAATTTTCATATTTTCTAAATGTCTATCTCTTAATCCAATAATATAACCTCCTATAAATCCTCCAACTAAACTTTCTATTAATTTTATCTTATTTTCTATATTCTTTTTTTCAATATTAAGTTGTTTAGAACATTCTAAACATCCATTTTGACTATACTCTTCATAAATTCTTCCATCAATACAACATGTAAGTCCTCGATGTATCTTACATAATACTTTCATTGGTGTACATCCTATTTTTTCAATTATTCCTCCTTCTCTTAATGCTATTACTCCATATGTTTTTGCTTGTCCAATTATTTCTTTATTATTAATAGTAATCCCATAGTTTTTATTTAAAAATCTTTTCCATATTACATTAAATATATTAAAACTTATTTCAGCTCCTTCATCTTTTCTTAAATCATCTCCTTTTTTATATATAATTGTTTTAATTTCTATTCCTTCTTTTGACTCTAATGTAACTTGAATTTCAATCGGTCCATTACTTGTTTTGTATTTTTTAATCCCTCTTAAACATAAGATTTTTTTCCTCGTGAAAAATGGGTCTATTTCACACTTCCAATCAATAATACTTATTCTTTCCTTAAAAAGTTCTTCTTTTTCTTTCTTTATTAATCCCTCTTCTTCAATTAGTCTTTTATCAAAATATAATGTTTGTCCTTCTATTTCTTTAATATTATATATCTTGTCAAACCATTCAATCATCTCTTCTACTCCTTCTTCTGAATCAACTACTTCTTCCATTGCTTTTTCTCTTCTTATTATTTCAATCACTCCACACCTTTTTTCTTTCCATTCAACTTGATAATATTTTTGAAACTCTTCATCTTCACAAAGACACTTTCCTTTCCCTCGATGCTTTATCATCACTCTAACAACTATTTCTTTGTTTCTTCTTATCATCCTCATAAATCCTTCTATCATTTCTTTTTTATACCTTCCTCTTCTTAATTTTTTGATATATTCCATTATTATGTCTAAATATTTATTACTAATCTCAATGTCCTCTCCAATTCTTTCAATTGTCTCCTGACTCAGCGTTTCCATTGCAATGTCTTGTAGTATATTAAACTCTTCTTTGTTGTCTATTACTGCTTTTTCACTCATTTATTTTTTCTTTTATTCTTTTTTTTTATTCTTTTTTCTTTTAACGGGAAGAAAAGAATTTGTCTTTCTCAAACAAGAATCATTAATCTTAATTCAATTATTACTTATTTCCTTTCCTACTTTTCTTATTCTTGCTGTAGTGAAATTGTAGACATTTCCACCTTTCTCTATTGTCAATGCTTTGTTATTTCACTTTTAATCTATCAACTTTCTACGATGTTTCACATTTTGTGTTGCATCAGCCTTAGGTTGCTTTTCTATTTATTATCCTTTCTTTTTCTTTTTGTTTTTCTTTTTGTTTTGTTTAGTGTTAAGTCAAGAAGGTATTACTAATTGTATCTTTTATGGAAAAGTTAACCTCATTCAACCTAATTCGTCAATAAACACCGAAATATTTGAAGATTTTTAGAAAGAAGAAAAGAAAGAAAAAAAGGGATATAAAAGCAGAAATTCAGATAACTTTAATTGAATAAGACTATGAAAAATTTCACATACTATAATCCAGTTAGATTGATTTATGGAAAAGGTAGTTGTGAAGAAATCAGTAAACAACAACTCATTCCAGAAGATGCTAGAGTTATGATGATTTATGGAGGAGGATCAATTAAAAAGAATGGAGTTTATGAAGAAGTAAAAAAGTATGTTAAACCAGTTATTGAATTTGGAGGAATTGAAGCTAATCCAACACATGAAACATGTAGTAAAGCTATTGCACTTGCTAAAGAAAATCAAATTAACTTTTTATTAGCAGTTGGAGGAGGATCAGTTGTAGATGGAACAAAATACATTGCACTTGGTATGGAACATACATATTCAAATGATACATATGATATTGTTATGAAAGCAGGACAATTTAAATATCAAAAAGCAAAAGCACAAATAGGAGTTATTTTAACATTACCAGCTACAGGATCAGAAATGAATTGTGGATTTGTGATTTCAAGAAAAAGTGATAATATGAAAATGGCAGGACAAGATGTGAGTGTTTTTCCTAAATGGTCTATTGTTGATCCATGTCATTCTATGTCTCTTCCAGACAATCAAGTTAGAAATGGAATTATTGATTCATTTGTTCATGTTTATGAACAATATATTGGACATTATCAAGAAAATCCTGTTACTGATGGTGAAGCGGAAGCAGTTATGCGTACTCTTATGAAAGTTGCACCAATTACTCTTAAAGACCATTATGATTATCAAGCACGTGCTACTTTTTGTTATGCTGCTACAGTTGCTTTAAATTATTCTCTTGCATGTGGAGTTGAACAATGTTGGGGTGCTCATATGATTGGTCATGAAATTACTGCCTATTATGGTCTTGCTCATGGTGAAACATTAGCAATGACTATGCCTGGTGTTATGAGGTTCCACAAAGAAAAGAACGCAAAGAAATTAATTCAAATGGCACAACAAGTCTTTGGTATTCCTAATCCTAAACCAGAAGATGCCATTACTGCTACTGAAAATTTCTTTTTATCTATTGGTGCTAAGGTTAGACTTTCTCAATGGGAAAAAGGAAAAGAGTTCTTTGATCAAATTGCTCAAAAGTTTGATTCAAGACCTTGTGGTGTCTATAAAGACATTGACTCTAAAGCTTGTCTTACTATCTTAAATGATATTTACTAACTTTGCTTTATTCTTTTTATTTTTATTTTCTTGTCTTCTTTTTAACTTGTGTAAAAAGAGAATCTTCTCATATGGGGTATGATAGAAACAATTCCCTGATTGCAATAGAGTTATGAAGAGGTTGAAGTAATTATTATTTCTCAATATGAATAAAACCTTATTTGTGGGTAAAGTAATGATAGAGTGTTTTTAATTTGGAAATGTCAATTTGTTTTTTTTTCAAGAAAAGAGAATAATGTTTGTTTTTCATTTTGGTGAATGAAATAATTGAATAAATTTTTATTTGAAAGGAAGTGAATTAAAGTAAAGTAAAATCGAACAAAGGGACATTTGTGGGTTGGGGTTTTATTTGTTGCTGGGAAATAGAAGTATTAATACTATCAGATATGAATGTCCCAGAGCCAGACTCATTTATTGAACTTTTTGATAGAAGACAATTTGGTGTTGATGGAGGTGTTGATATGTGCTGACCAAAATCAAACAATTCGTTATTAGGAGTTTTATCGTTAGGTTGGTCAGGAGTATTATTAGATTCTTCTAGTTTCTTTTCTTTTATGAGAAGGTTTTCATTTTCCAATTCATCTGTTGAAGTGCTAACTAAGTCAAAAGCAATTGTTGGTTGGGTTGAATGAGATTTTGCATTGGAAAAATCAAACAACTTAATTGACTTAGTATCAGTATTATCATACCTTGGTGTAATTGAAGGGGTAGCATGTTGGGAATTTGATGTTGGTGTTGAAGCTACATTTTTTGATGATTTTGATTTTTGGGATAATATTTGTGATATATTGCCTAGTGCTGTACGATATTTTTTACTTAACAGTTGTTGATATTCTTCAGTGGTTCTATGTTTTGGTTGAGAATTTGATTCAATACATAATGTACAAATCATACGATTTACATCCCCTTTGACGTCACCAAGCATAATCCTAAAGCAAGACAAACACCGATAACAACAACAATGGCATGGTAATGATCCTAACATACAACAGGGTGATTGTGAAAGGATAGTACTATGACAATTAACACATTTGGTATTGTAATAACCATAACTTGATGGTGTTTCAAAAATAGGATTAGAGTTATAAGGAATGAGTAATGGACATAACTTTCTAATATTTTTTCCTTCAATAACTTGTTTTTCTCTTTCAGAGAAATACATGTCTGCCATTTGACTATTAAGGAATTCTAGAAAGAATGTCCTTCCTGTTTTGTCTGGGTTTGTTTTTGGATTAGTAAGATCAAAACCTTTCACTTTTTGGAGAGTTTTTTGGTTAACTTTTTCACGATATGTTGAGATATAAAAACCAAAGGAATATCTATAAAAGTCTAACAGTAGAGATGAAATGGCAGAATCTGATGATTGTAATAGAACAGACTTTTTTTCGGTTTCCATACTTTTTTGTAACTTGTTTAATTGAGACCTTAATTGAACAGAACGATCACTTGTTAATAAGAGTGGATGAGAAGGAAAAGAAAGAAATGTTGATGTGTCTAAATTAAAAACATAAACATCATTAATTTCAACTTCTTCAAGCATTTGAAGAAAAGTAGAATAGGTACAACCAATAATGAATGGCATTGGAGCAAATGCTAAAGACAACAAGTCAGGAGGAAGAATTGGAATAAGAACATGCTAGAAAAGATAAGAGTTAAAGAACAGTTATGAAAACTCTAAAACAAACTTGCCAAGTGAATGGATAAATAAGTCTTGAGAAGGTATGAACTGAAGAACTAAGTAACTGTAAAGACTCAGAAATAAAAATAAATTTCCTCTCCAGAAGAAGATGAGATAACATATCTACAAATAATGAAGCACCAAACATATTTAAAAATAAAGATGGAGTAATAAAATTAGGTTCAAATAAAGTGTCTTCTGTACGTTTAATTGTGTATGTGAATTTTTTAGAATTTGGTATGTCATTAGTAATTGTCTGATTGATTTTGGGGAATTGTTTATTGAATAGATCAATGAAAATATCATTTAAATACTTTGAATTAATGTTTTGACTAAGAAAGTCTAAGATATTACTAAATAATGTGAAAGATGGATGTGATGAAATAATGCAAAAACAATAAGACCGTTGATACACTTCTCTTTTACAATGACAATATCTCCTCCTCCCATCAAGTTCTGTTAATGTAAATGTAAATTTATCTTCTTTTTTAGATGAACTGCTGAAGTCATGATCAGGAAATGTGAACGTACAAAGAGTTTTATCCAAAATCGTGTTGTCTGGTATTCTATTAGTTATATTAAACACACCTTCGTTTCCATCAAATGAGAGCAAGTCATTTATTCTTATCAATACAATTTCATCAACTAACATTTCATGTCTAAAAGGTAAACCAGTTTTTTCAGTCATTATCTATTTACAATAGATTTTATGTTTTCAAGTTTTTATACTTTTACAAAAATTCTTTTCATTTTTTACAATAAAATATTGTTATAAATAACTATATTAATAAAAAGACTAAACAAAAAAAAAACTTCAAAACAAACCCAAAAAAAAGGATTGAATGAGCATAAAAATTACTAAACGAGTGTTATACGGAAATGAATCAACACCATTGAAGAAGACTGTTTCTAACAATACTCACAACTGGACATTATTTATTCGTCCATTCAATGAAGAAGATATAGAGTTATTTAATGTTATTGACTCAGTAACGTTTCATCTTCATGAATCATTCCAAAACCCACACCGACGTTTGTTTTTACTATGGATGAGAAAATTAAAATATAACAATTTTTAGGGGTTTCACAACCACCATATGAAATTACTGAACAAGGATGGGGTGAGTTTGAGGCTGTAATTGAAATTTCTTTCAAGTACAATTTAGGACAAATAACATTCAAACACTTTATTATTGTTTGTTTTATTTTCATTATTAAGATAATATATTGTTAACATGTAGTTGTTTAACCAAGATAAAACAAAGAAGAGTGCTATTTCTCATGTGTGTTATGACCAATTTATCTTCATCAATCCAAATGAAAGTGCTGTGAAAGCATTATCAACTAAACCAATTCTACCACCAAATTGGAAACAAACTCCAAAAGGAAACAATTTATTTAGTGATGAAAAAGAGGCACTCAAACGAGTTCAAACTAAATTAAATGCAACATTAGAAAAACTAGAAAAAGAATATCATCAACAACTAAGTTCTTGTAGTGAACAGTTAATTACAAAATAATTTATGTTTATTGGTCTAACTTTCATATGTATTAATGTTTTTTTTCTTTTTAGTTAAATTAAAGTACTTAGAATAAAGAAAAGTCAAGTTTTTTGAACGAACTTTTTTGTTTAAGAAAGAAAAAAAAGTTAAAAAGAACTTAAAAAAATGAACATGTACTCACAACACTCATCATTTAGGTCTTCATCACCTGAAAACCATGAGCCATCTACCACAAACACATACGATTTATCATTTCACCCTGTTCATTTACAAAATTCATTTATTTCTCAACAGCGATATTCTCAAAGAATGGGATCTTTATATAAACGAAACCATCCATCAACTCCATTATTTTATAAATTGTCAAAATCTGTACCTTCTCAAGACATTATAAGTCATAATGGGGTTTGTGTTGGTAATGATAATGAATTACCAATTGTTGCTATATTTCCTTGTGATTCAACATCATTTATAACTGCATTCCCTGATGCCCAAGAAGTTCATCCAAATGGTCCAGTTAGAGGAATACCAATTCGTTGTGGAAGTATATGGAAAAAGGTAGAGAGATTAGATGAGTTAATGGAGCTTTCTAAGCCAAGAGATATTAATGATGCTGATTGGTGTAGGTATGTTCATTTGTTTTGTATTTATTGTGGAAAAAGATATACCTCATTGTGGAGTCTTGAAAGTGATTGTGGTGGTCATGACCATTCAAAAGAGGATGGAAGATGGAAAGAAATTGATATCAGTAATATTGAGAGAGCAAAAAAGGGATTTGACCAAATGAAATGTGTTGATGACATAATGAATTCAGTAACAGAAGACAATACATTTGAAATAAATGAAAAAATAACAAAAGAACCGAATAAAGAAGGAGTTGTTGATTTCAACCAATTTTTAAATAATAATCCTGATGTATTAACAAAAACATTTGAATGTAAATTGTGTCATCAACAATTTACTGGACAAGACCGGTTAAACCATTTTATGAAAGACCATCATGAAATTTATGATGATATTGTTGGTGTATTTTGGAAAAGAAATTTAAATGAAAAAGAGGAGTGGCATTCATCTTTTTATCAAGACCGTCGGGAGAGAAGACGTAGTCCACGAAGAGGATTTGAAAATAGAGTAGAAAGAAGATGTGAAGGAAATGAGGGGTTGTTAGATGACATTAAAGCACCTCCAGCATCTTATTTAAGTTTTTTAGAAAAATTGAATTGATTGATTTAATATGAATTGGGGTTTTTAAATATTTTTTTCAATAAATAAAGATAATATAAAAAAGGCAGAAAAAGAGTATTATGTATTATATTATAAATTTAAAAATCAAAAAATAAATTATTAAAGAACTTAAAAAAAAACACTTCATTATTAACAAGATGTCTGGAACATACGGTTTGTAGTTATTTTTATGTTCTTGAAGATGAAAAAATGACTTTATTAATCAAATAGAAAAACTTCCACCACGTACTGCTGAACGTAAAAAGGAAATTCAAGAGAAAAGACAAGTAAGTCAATTAAAACGAAGATTAAGAAAAACACGTCAAGGAGATAGAAATCAAAGAAGGCATTTATCTGACCGTATGAAACCACGTAGAAATAACCAATTTAATAAAGTGGATGATTTAAAAAGAAGATTAGACCGTTTAGATAGATTAGAAAGACTTCAAAGATTGGCATTATTAGATGATATGGTTCAAAAAGAACGTGCTTTTGATCAACAAAGAAGAATTAGAAATGAAAGAAGATTCAGAGAAGATCCTCTTATTGAAGATTTATTAGCTCTACGACGTTACAGACAAAGAGCCTTTGAAAGA